GGGTAAAGTCTCCCTATGCCCATCTTCTATTGGAGGAAGGTATGAGAGAGATTGGATTCCGTGGCGGAAGAAATAGGGTCAAATAGGAGTGTCTGCTTCTGTAGGGAGATTGAATCAACCATTTGCTTACCTTAAGGCAGATCAGCTTGAAGGGAGAAACTGGAAATGATAGACTACCTCAGGAAAATATTCTTGGACCATATCTCCAACTACCAGAGTGGCGGTCTTCCTGCCATGGAATACTAGTCTTCCAGATTCCCTCTGTACCAGTCAGGGAATAAGTGCCAGTTCTATTTCCCTTGGTGCTAGTATCCCACATTTCCCCTTTCTGCATAACATTTAAGATTTAATAGTGTTACGGAGGTAACATGGTCTCTTTTCATATCTCTTAGCTTCCTATAGAAGCTACATGAGACAGCGAGCATCAAAAATATGATGAATGAACAACACAGTCAGTCTAGTACTTAAGCTATGTGAAATGCTTTGAGTCCAAGCACGTGGGATCCAGCCTCTTTCTATGCCAACCACCATTTGTTTAAATACCTCAACTAGTAGAATGCCTTAAATCCACCCTTGAATGTATAGAAAATATCCTTTTAGCTAAATCACATCTAATGAAATGTTTCCCTTAAGCCCTTGTAAATGTTTCTTAATCAAATCCCAATCATGCAATGTTACATTATATAGGTAAGGAGTTACGCAGAAATCAGTTACATTCCAATCACATTATAGCATTGACAAGTCCAAAATCTTGATCCTTCAGCAGAGCAATAGTTTGTAGTAATAGTCCAGTCACTATCGTGTAAAATGTTCAACTTTGATAGAGTCCCAGAGTGTCCCTTTGACAGCGTCAGCAGTGGAAGAACTATCTCAGCAGTCAGCAGTTGCCATTCTCAAGAATCTGTGAGGTCTTCTTGACGTTTTGGATAGCTTCAGTAAGCAGAGCAGGGTCAGGTCACACATCAGCTTCCCTGCTTTCTTCTGGGCCTTTCTGGCTGAAGAGAAATCCATCTATCTCCTTTGCCTGTGAAAATATAAACAAATAGCCCCTCTCTTCGGGGTGTCATTACCTTGAAAAGGGATTATGATTAAGCTTTTGTGGTTCCTTTGTGTCCTTCTTGTCCATCTTTTCCCAAACGTGGCTGTGTCCTTCTAAAGGGAGTCCATCAGCTTTATTCTGCAAAAACATGACAGATGGACCTGGATCCCAAACGTGGTTTCCAGCATCTTGGTATTTCTAAGGATTGTCACAGATAAGATTCCTCTTCTTCCCCCTTCTGTTTTAACGATGCAGATATTAAAGCATTACTAGCAGTCTCAGTTATCTTGCTTGGTCTTGAACCAGTAAAACTACTAGTTAGATAGCCTTCATTGTTATGCAAATTCTGGCTTCCAGCTCTCAGAGAATTAAGAGAACTGACTAATTGGGAGAACTTTTTACCATACTTTGAAACACTGAAAAAATTCTTAATAAATTTGTTCAGCTGTTCTTTAAGTAATTTACCAAACAGACATTTTTTTCTCCAGTTTACCAATAAGGTTACAGGCTCAATTAAACCACTTTGCCCTTCAGGCTTCTTACACTGTATGGTTTTACAATCTTGCTATAGTTTGTCTTGGTTAACTTCTCTCATTCCTTCCAAGCTGGATTTAGGAGAAGTTAATGGGAGGGTCTTAGGCCCTTTTGAATGCCCTAAGGCAATGACCCGATATCCAGATTTTGCGTGTATGTCCCTAGACCACCCCCTCTCATTGATGTATAACCTACAGTGCAACCCTTTCCTGTCATGCATGTCTTTATCTGTAATTAGTGGGCTTGTACGCCCCCCCAAAAGGTATATAAGCCTGGGTTAGCAATAGAGATCTCTCTCTCCTCTCTTCCCCCTCTCCTCTCCCATCCTCTCTCCCTTGTTCCCTTTCCCATCCTCCTTCCCATCCCTCTCTCTCCATGTGGACCACCAAGCGGGGCTGAGGTAAATGCTACCATAAAATGTGTCTGTTTCCATTGTTTGACTCTTCTATTGCTCATGCGCTCGATGACTTTAATATAATATTTATATATCTCAACCGTACAATTGTGCTTGCCCGTGGTTAGTGGTGGGGGGCTGGCTCCCGCTACCTAATACCACAAATGGCGCCCAACGTGGGGCAAGACAGCAGTCTGGCATCATTGCCTTCAGGGAGGACCTCCCCCCACAATTTTTTACTTCTTTCTATCCTTAAGCCAGTGCTATCTTGGGGGCTGTTTCCTCTTTGTTGCCCTCTGGGTGAGGTTGTTCTATGTGGTAGTCTCTTATTTATGCATGGTGAGTGTTGTTCTGCCCATAGTGGGTCAGCAAGGATCTTTTGAAGGGCTGGCTTTCTTCTAGCATATTCTTTGAGTTTTTCCTTGTCTGGGAAGACTCTTACTTCTCCATCTATCATTTAGCTGGGAAGAGTATTCTTGGGTTTGTGCTATTTCCCTTCAATTTTTGGAATATGTTACTCCACTCTCTCTTCTTCTTCATAGTGTCCACTGATAGGTCTGAGCATATTCTTATTTGTGAACCTTTATACGTGATTGCTTGTTTTTCCCTAACTGCTCTCATGATTTTCTCCTTTTCCTCAAAGTTGGAGAGTTTAATTATTATGTGCCTTGGTGACTTCTTGGGATTCAGTCTAGCTGGTGTTCTTTCAGCCTCCTGAATGATTGCCTGGTTTTCATTCAATACAGCTGGGAAAGTTTTCCTCCAAGAATTCTCACTATTGTTGCAGATAACTTCTTTGTGTGTCTTCCTCCAGTAATCCAATTATTCTGATTTTGTTCCTCCTCATAGCATCAGACATAGCTCTTAGGTTTTCTTCAGCTTCTCTGATGAT